GAAGAGGCCTCAGAAGCAGGCACAACTTTTACTTTAACCCAATGTCAGAAAGAGGTGGCCATGTTTTCTGAAAACCTGACTGCTGGTCCCTGGGATTCCCAAGTTGTAGCCAATTTCCCTTTGGACTTTTATCCAGCACAACACATTTCAGGTACTTACATTGTAATATTATCCCTCTGGTAAAGAATCATACCAATGAGGGCATGAGCCTCTGAATGCTCCCTCCATGTACAGATCACCTGTGAGTTGTAGTCATTGTAGCAGATCAAGCTCTTCATAGGGATACTCTCTGAGAAAGGAATTCAGGCAAAAAAGATGCAGTGATTACAAACGTAAATACTGAGAGACAGCAGGAGGTACAGTGATCCTGCCAGCAGAATGGGGAAGGCACTGATAACGGTACCCTACTCAAGACACCAGAAAATGACTCTTCATGAAAATATGTACAGAGTTGTGGCCATTCTGCACATCTCCACAATATGCAAGTGTCCAAACCAAGGTACAAGTAACAACAATGAAGTGACACCTTTGTACCTGCAAGGCATATAATTCTAGCCAAGGTATCACTTTTCAAAACGCTGATTGTTTCTACAGTTTAGTAGATACCATGGTCAGCAGGCATATGGTGATCTTTTCATCTTTGTGTGTTCCTGTATGGGACTTCTTTGCCACTAACCTCCTAGTAAAGGTTATGACACTAGAAAGGTATATTTAAAAGTGAGAGGCTCTGGGAAGAATCTTGTTATGACTCAGAAGAACACCCAAACTAAGTTGCTGGAACTAGATTTATGACCCAGAAACGGCCAGATCTCTCATCAGGGATAACTCGTTCTTCTCATCTGTTTGTCCAGTATTTCACCTGTCCATACCACCAACATACAACTGATTTGTCTGCACATGCCTCTGCTACACACTGGTTTTGATCAAGATGTCTGTTCTCCTACAGCATAAACGATGATGGCAGAAGGAAGCAGAAAAGCAAGCAAAAAATGAGGAAGAGCATTAGCTGAAAGAAGGAGATAGAAAAAGAAAGGCAATAATGGAAGGATAAAAGAAAATATAAATTTGAAACTGACCTGGAATGGCTTGGACACTGAAGACCAAATACAGATTCAGCAGAAGGATGAAAATCTCTTTCATGTTCATACTGTCCTTTGTGCACAAGCTTGATCCTAATTCAGAAGATAATTGTTTCCATTGCCCACTGGCTACTCTCTTGCTCTGCGTATTGTGGAGCTTCTTGTTTTCATTTCACATAAAGAGAAGCAAAACTGAATTAGGGAACTTCTTTAGGCTTCATGTTGGAGTGACATTCAGAAAGAACTTCTACCAAGTATTTATTGTAGGACAAAATCCTACAATGTCTTCTTATTGTGTGAGCTTGCAATATGAGCAAAGAATGAAGAAGTAAATGCACATTTCCAAGGAATTGCAGGGATTCTTTCAGCTGAGTAGTAACAAGAAACAATCCTAACCTGTGAAGAGAACTCAACCTTCAAATTCATTCATCCTTCTGCCCTTCATGCTCAAAGCCGTCCTAATGAAAAGCAATGGTGTTCTGTTTTTTACCTTTCCTTAAAAATATGATCCCCAACCACACAGCTCCTGGGAGCTATAGGGTTTGAATTCCCATATTCATTCACTTTCAGATTTCTCTTCAACATGCTACTTTTCCAGCTGCTCCCCAAAGAAGTTGTAAATTGTATAAATAATACCAAAGAAACTATTTCTTTTTTTTTTTTTTTGTAATTGTTGAGATTGAGAGTAGATTGAGTGGTTCAAAGACCACAGACAACATTGCTCAATACTGGAATTCAAGTCCTTTTGGCCATCTCTCATTGCTCTCTCAAAAGTATATTAAACTCACCTACTCAAGTATGTTACAGAGCTAAGACTCTTTTCTGCTTTAGGGGAGCACAGGAAAAAACTCCTTTTAAATTCCTATTGACTTTCAGATTCCTGAATGCCACTTCCTTACATCACAAACAGCTGGCTGAGCCCTTGAATAATCATTACAGCTAAGGAATCCCTTAATGACTCACAAGCCCTTGTATAAGAGCAGACTCTCTGCCATTCTGCTTTCCCCAGAGTGGAAGCAGTTCCCTTACCTGGATGCAGACCTGTCTGCGAGCAGATGATTCAACCTGATAGGTGACTCTGTCCAGCCTCCTGCCACAGCATCAGAATCCTCCGATGCAGAAACGAGCAAAACCACACGTCCCCAGAACTGGAGACAGAAGGTATAAACCGACCACAGGATTTTCTTGGCAAGCAAGTCTTCAAAATAACTGCTGTTATCTTCTATGCACCTCAAATGCCACTTTCAAAGAGGCAGACCACGCCTTTTCAAGGAAAGTCTGTGTAACTGCCTGTAAAATGGGAAGTCTGCACTTCCTATTTTAGCTCCTAAAGCTCTCACTTAGATGGAGCTGTTTAATTGGAAAGAAAGTTTGTCACTGCCGGTCTGCATGTTAACAATTACCCGGTCATGGGACTAATGTATCTTCAGGAAAAAAGAGGACTGACTGAAGCAGAAGTGAGAAAGATTAAGAAAGAATTCTCTGGTTTTTACTGTAGTGCTTGCTTTACTCTAGGCTAGACAATCTTTAAGGCAGGGATCATTCTGTACTTTGATGTTTATTTGTACATATATACTGGGGGGGAGACAGAACTACCTTTATCTCTGATTTGTGTAATTTAATTTGAGTAATATTTTTAAAAGTAAGTTTTACCAATGTCAACAATTAATAATAAATTATAAGTATTATAGTACATAGAGGAAACAAAACTGGTGAGAAGAGTTGATCTGAAGTAATCCTACATCCAAGGCAGCCACACTGTTTTAAATCCAGCTTTAAAACTTAGCCCAGTGAACTTCAATAATAAGATCTATAGGAAAGTTAGGTAGCCATAAGGGAAAGACACACTCAGGTTTGTGCTCTCAGGGGTAAATTACAGGGGACTAAGATGAGTCCCCAGATACAGAATACAACTGCTAGGGTCTGACTGTCCTGCACTGCTACTACACCTTCTCTAAATCCTTGTAGTACTGACCAAAACCATAGTTAGTACAGTTAGGCTCTCACAAGAACTACATCAATATACAAGGAAAAAAAAGTATATTGTGAATAAAGGAAATGTGCAGAGCAAGAAGGAGAATATGAGAGTATCTGAGGAAACTGTGTCTCATTGGGACTATCAGGAGGTGGGCATATAAAACCTGCAGACAAGGAGGGGAATATGCGACTTTGCTGGACGGGCAGAATTTACTTTGCGTTACCATATAAAGGCAAAAAGGAATTCTGCTCTGATTTTCAAAGGCCAGTAAGTTTATATATGTTCTTCCCCCACCCTTAGAAAAGAGGTTTCTTGTTCATCAGCAGACATTTTCCCTCCCGTTCCTTCCTCATTCAAACAGCTGCTCCATCTTCAAACAGACTTGCTGAGTTGCTCGTTACATCACAGGATCTAGCTGTCAGGGAAAATCTTCAGATGTTATTTGCTCTGCTGAACTCCAGGAACAGGTAACAAATAATCCTGCACACCCAAAGCTTTGCAGGCCATGCAAAACTTACTAATGCATTCTCTTAGGTATCACAAAGTGTAAGATTAGTAACATTATCATTGTATATTGCTTCATCTCCTTCCTAAACCGCATTGCTACAATGCCTTTGAAGTGGGAAGTTACATTTTGTAACATTCTGGTAAAACAATGTCAACTAAAATCTTCCATCATTGGAAAAAGGGAAGATGTAATCTGTGTCTCTTCTGAATATATGTTATCTACCTCTGAAATTTAATATACATTGATTCTTCAGATGGAACCTTTGTACCTGGAAAGCAGATATGGACTGTAGCACATCTTACAACTCTCTGGAGAGTGCATTTTCTTATACAAGTCTGTACAGGATTGGTATACTGCTAGAACTATACACTTAATAAACTGTCAAGTAAGAAATTATTTATGGATCCCAATATAGCAAACAATGCACTTATCTTTAAATATAAACTCTTTCCTTTATTTCCAATATGCTTATATGCATAAATGCAGGGCTACAGATAATAGCATATTAAAGCTTATGTATACAAGCTATATACATAAGTTTATGTATATATATCAGGAAGAAAAAAAAAACAAAAACCCAAGTTTAAAGGATAAGTCACTTTTGTTACTGTTGGAGATCTTGTTACCTGATGTTACCTGATAGCATTACAGGTAACATCTAAGAAAAAGAGAAAACATTATTTTGCCAGTTTGGGGAGAGGCATTGTCAATCTTCCCTGTTGTCTGTACAAATTTTAGCAGCAGGTCAAGGACAAAGATTTTTTAAAATGAGGAACTGTAGCTTAATGCCACAGAAACTAACAGTCAAATCCAAAGCATGGTGTTTGAAAACTCTTTTAACTTCATATTTTTTACTGATTATATTTATACTTGGTGGTATTTTTTTAACACCATGACTGCGTGGTGTCTTTAGAATACAGCATTTTAGGTATCAAACAATTTATGTAAAACATACGTAACTTGTAAATCTTACAAGCAGCAGTAAATTTGTTCAAGAAGAAAATATTTTAATTGCATGACCATTAAAGAAATTATTGCGAGATATATTTTTGTTCAACAATGAACTACTCCTTAAGGAAATCTGAATAGGTTACATTCAAACTCTTCGTCAAAATTATCTTTCAAGAAAAAAAAAAAAGAAGCAGAATTATTTCATCCCCCCCAAAACCCCTTTTGAATAGAAACTGATAAAACAAATTCATATGTAACTTTATTTGTTGAAGAATCTGATACAGTAATTTGTTAGTTCTACTTTGCAAGGAGGTGTCAGAAAGCAGAAGATAGACAGAGAAGGAATTCTGTTTGAATTGGCATCACACAAATTTTCCCAGAATGTGGAAATAAGTAGTCTGTACAATTACAAAAAGGTCTATGAGGAACACCATAGGTGTACTAGGTTTGATTCACAGAATTCAAAATATTGGTCAGTGGAAAGAAGAAAGCAAAGGTGGGTTGCAATTTCTTCACTGAAATAAGAAAAAGTTTTCTTGATGCTTCCAGAACAAACTCTGAAAGCCCAGTCAGACTCCCACGTGACAGAAATAATTACACATTCATAAGCACTGGCACACAAACCTTCATATCAGCAAGTGAAGAGAAAATTATGGCAGTCTAGAAAAAAAGCTTATGAAGACATTCTGGACAAATAACTAGCTCTGGGAGCAAGAATAGAGATTAGAGCAGGTCTTGGGGCTCAGAACACTAAACCTCTACTGCAGGCTAACACTGACTAGCTTTGTGAATACGGACAGTGATTTTATTTCTCTATTCCTCACTTTCTCTGGTCCCTATGTAGATGTCTCTATTACAGAGGAGTACTACAAAGCTGAAGAAGCTAACCAAGTACAAATTTTACATTGAAAGGTAATATATTACTAAAAATTACTCTTTTCAAGCTCACTTCAAAGGCTTGTTAAAGGAAACTGTCTGCAGAGAGGGATGACAGAAGGACTGTATAGCTACCTACTGGAACATTTCCATATAGCACTTATGTTGCACTCACTGTTTGAGTAGCACCTATTCCTGGACTAGTGTTGTAGACACCCAAGTCATCTTTGTGAGTGATGTGCAACTTCCAAGGGAAGAAATGCTTCTCAGAGGGCCTTCTCCTGCTCTGAGACACCATGAGTTCAACATCCTGATTGGAGAGCAACCGGATCAGGTCACCATCAAGGTCCCGGTAATTCAAAACAATGTCATCTTGGTCAAACTCTCGCCTGGTAGAAAAGAAATGGATTGATCCCCAGAAATCAAGGAATGCCTGGGAGGTGCTGCATGATGAACAATATACTGGTAATCTAATTCATTCTGCTAAAAGCCACACAAAGCCTTGGGTGTCTTGGCATTCTTGATACAGCTAGTACTAGAAATCATACAGCCACATTCATGCTGTGTTGTGTTTAAGGAATCTGTCAGAATCAACAACCATTTCCAATACCACCACATGCATGGCACAATTAGCCTGTGAGTTTGATAAAATTCCCATACATAAGAGTTGACTGTAGTAACTACCCACTTTTGCCTACTTATGGTTGCTTTTTTTTGAGGGGAGGGCAGGTTAAGGAATGGAAGAATATTAGCACAGGTGTTCTATTACTAATATCTGATGTTCTGATGTTTTGATGTTCAACACTAGATTAACATCGTTTAACAGGTGTTAGAAGGCAGTGTCCTGCATCCTGAAGAAGTATATTAGGCAAAAGATCCTTGCATGGGGGTATGGCTCTGATCTTAGAACAAGAAATGGAAACTTCTACCCAGCGTAATTGAGTTAGAAGTGTGTGGCATTCCATACTTACTGACAATCCCAAGGCAGACTAGTGTCTGTACATATGGCCCTGGGCCAAGTCAAAGTACAACTTCTTCAGGACACTTGAAAAGTATTTCACACCCAAAACATGGTGATGACCAAGTAGAATGTGGAAAATCTAGGACTGTAAAGAACTTGACAAATGTTTAAATGATATTAAACATACAACTAACTGCTTGCATTGTACCTTATCAATTCCATGAGATCTTTGAATGATGGAATGCTGCTCAGATCCTCTTCCACTGAGATATCCCTGTAACGAGAACAAATCTAATCATTACATATCATGAAAAGAGAATTGTCGGCATTTCTTCAGCAGTAAACTGGAAGACTACTTTCTTATTACCTGATAGTGCTCACAGTCTCGTCATGGTAATAACAGCGAACTTTATTAACTGTGTCTTCCTGCTGTGGCAAATCTTTTATGATCTTCACAAAAGCACATGGGAAAATCCCAGTGGCATCATCAGCTGTTCCCTGGAATGATAGGAAGTGTTAGAATGAAGAAAACCATGCCATTTTGGCCACACACAGTAAGTTCTGGAAGTCAATTAATTTCCATGGAAACAACAGTAAGAATTTTTCTACTATAATCAAGAAAACAAAGGCTATGGAAGGGACCTGATGGCATCCCTACAAAAAGATTATACAATTGTGTAGTCAAATACAAGGCAGGGGAGTGAAACAGTGTGTAAAAAATGAAAGTCAGATGGTTATCAAAGAAGGCTGTGGTGTTTGAGCAAGCAGAGATATCATATCAGCAAACACACAGTATGTTCTCCTCATCCTTTTTCAGAACCCTGCTGCATTGCCCAAGTTCTCTCTAATCAGGCTGACGTGTGTTGTGGTATGAAGCATGAAATATATAGCAACTCACCCTGAGGCAAGAAACCAATTAATCACTGGAATGGAGTTTCCATCTCCTTTCTGTGGCCTTTTTGTGTTCTAATCACTTCCAAAGAATTTAAAAACATTCCAGCAGAAGCAAATGCAAACGAAAACTGAAGTCTAGAGGGCAGAAAATTTGTAAGCTAAAAACCATCAAGGAAGGAAACAATTTCAAATTCAGAGTCAAGGATTTATTCTTGACGGTAAGACCTGATTACGATAGTTTCTCCTTGAAAGGAAGAGACAGTTCCCAAGGACTAGGAGAGCCCTTTCTACTCATATACTTTGTATGCTAAGAATTCAGTACCACTATTGCAGTCTTACCTCCAACCAGTCTTTGTTTACTCTGCTGAGTAGATAGATCAAGTCTCCCTTCTTGAAGCTGAGTTCCAGTTTATTGGTTCCAGAAAAATCAAACAATGCCTATGGAAAGTAATAACACTGACATTATTAATTCACAGAATTACAAAAGTGAATCTTTCTTTCTGTTCTGTTCTTGGGGTGAAAGCATAAAGCAGCACGATGGTATGGACTTTGTCATCACAGACATATTTCTGGGGTAAGGTCATATATATGACCATAGTCTACAGTTCTCACAATTTCTTCTCCTACTCAGCACACACAAAAAAGCTTTGAAGAAGTAGTGAAAGCACTAGGATAAACACAGCTCAGAGAGCTACATGCTAGGATTCTTAAAGTGGCAGGACACTGTGCACCAGAAAAATAAATATAAAGAAGTTGAAAACACTTAAGAGCAAGTAAGCCAACAGATCTGAAGACAACTGACAACTTGAAAACCTGAGAATTGAAAAAATATATATTATTTCTGGTTGCAGTTTTACAGCTTTCAGATTTTCTGCAAAATATCAGAGAGAGCCTTAAAAAATTGCAAAAGTGTTGTGACCTAATTTAAGGGTAACTAACTGTTATTGATACCTCTAGCTTTCAGGCCTGTATGCTGAACTGAGAGATTTGGGGAAGTCTGGGAAATTGACATGTAGTTAAAATGGAACTTAGATGCCCCCTTTGGGGGGGGGGGGGGGGGAGGAGGTAAGCACATGCTACCACCCTAACAAGCTGTTCTTGAATAATTAAAGTGGACATATTATCAAAAATGCACATCTCCTCCATTTTCCTTAGAGAACATGATAGCCATTTAAATGCTCTTAGAGGAGCTAAAATGAAAAGGTGTTCCTTATTCTATGTTGAGATGGTTCTTGTGCTCTTGTTAATGCCAGGAGTTCTCCTAATAAAAAAAGACAATGGCTACTGTTGTGCTAGCAGTTCATATGTCTACTTAATAGCTCTTCCAGAAGCCTTTTTTCATCTATTTTGGTAGGTATATTCAGATAAAACCCAAGAGATATGACTGATCCAAGACCTGCCATATTCAGTGTAAAAAACAAAACCAACAAACCTCAAAGTACTTGCGTGGGGTTTTTTTAATCTTACATGGCTAAGTCTCATGTTCCAGAAAGCAAGACCATGTTCAAACAAATACTGGTTACAAAGCAGTTCCATGTGCTTAATACCAAGACAATATACAGCAAAAGACAAGGGTATAGGCACTTTTCAGTAGAACACTTACGTTACAGAAAATACTAAGACACCTCACCTGCAAAGCTTTTAAACATATGCTGAAGTCAATGAGACTGAAGCTTGAGCTTTAAATTTAATTTATGGGTAACGCTATGTAAATGTGGACCATTTGGCAGTAAGCTGTACATGTCTCTCAATTTGAATCTCCTGTCATTCTGACTTCACAATGGACCTTCTTATTATTCAGTAGGGAGGAAAAGAACACTTCTTTCCATCCTTTGTTTCATTTCCTGTTGTTAAAATCAATTGCTTTCCTGTGTCGATTTTACTTTCCCTTCTTTCCCCAAGCTCTAATTGGAAAAGGCAATTTGATCGATGAGATACCAAAGTAAAACAGAGTTTAATCTCTTATCCTATGACAGATTGTGCAGAGTACTCACCTCAGCCCGCGGAGCTGCCAGGCGGTCAAAAATAGGCACTTGAGGTGAAATGCTTTTACTGGGAAGAAAGGAGATAACAGGAAGGTAAATATGTCTTTCTAGTCATCAAAAATACTACATAATCAGTAGCACAGTGTCTGCATTTTCATTATTTAAGAGGCAAGGCAAGCCATAGATCACTGGAGAAGCTGCATGAGAATCTGTGTGGAGCACTGAAGTAAATAAATATGGATGGAACAACAATGCCCTAGTTCTCTCAGTTGCAGTGCAGAGCAGCAGCAATCTGATGATGTCTGCTGCTGAGAACAGATGGAATTTTCAATACAGTCAGTATCCTGGACCTCTCCACAGCACTGCTCAGCCCCCCTACTCTGCCTTCTGGGCATCCCTGTTTCTAGCATTTATGGCATTCAGTTCAAACCCTGCCACCATACATACATCCAGGAATGCATACACATGCAGTTTTCACACTGTTTGAGGTACATCAAAAGGAAGCAGGTCTATCTTTGCTATGTTGAAAGGAGAATTAATTTGTCTGAAGGGTAATGAAGTATGTCTGCTTAGCAGTTCTCCAAAGGGGTGTCAATGCTGCTATGTAGGACAGGCCCCTGTTTAGACAAATGACAGTAACAAATTAAGTATTCAGCTTCATTTAGTGACTGAACCAGACCTCACTGAATTCAGGGCCAAAACTCACATTCACTTCAGTGATGCAAGCCTATGTCCTTAAGCTTGGCCAGTATATTCTGCACATTATAACAGATATTACCATTAGAGTATTATCAACAGATAGAGCTGAGCAGCATTTTTTTAAAAGCAAGCTGTACTCTCATTTTGGAATTTTCCTTTAATACAAGTACCACATCCACTTTAAAAATTTGAGATTACTGAAAACAAGAAATACCCTGTGTTCACTCTACGACAAAGATCCTCATACGAGGACTTCATGGATTCACTTGGGAAACACAGTGGTGTTCCTCATCTCTCTCTCCCCCCAAAACTGGACAGCTTCTCTTACATCAAGCTGAAAAAACACGTCAATCACTTACACTCGGCGCGTCCGTGGGCGAAGCCGTCTCAGTCTGTGAGGCACCTGTTCACTATCAAAGGTTGAATGGTAGAAGAACAGCCGTACCTCTTCATCCATCAACACCCAAACCGGTAGGCAGAGCAGGTTCTGTGCCAAGAGCAAGTAGGAAGCAGAGTGTAACAGTGGGAGAGACCAATTCTCTATTTATTTACATGTAACAAATATGCCTCTCTGACCTAAAGGATCATGAAGGATATTCATTACTGCCAGAAATCTCCCTCCTCTCCCTTCTCACTCAGCAGGACACGGCTGAACAGCTAACAGTTTCTCCTGTTTACTCCTGCAGTTGGTCTGTATTGGTTCACTCTTTTTGTGCCTGATTTACTGCAGAAGGAGTAAATTGCTCTTTATGCTTCCCTTCAGAACATGAATGACTGTGGAAAAAAGGCAATCTTAAGTACTGGAAGTCTTGGCCAGTGCTTCAGACTTTTACTGATTTAAAGTCAGGTCTTCAGTTAACCTGCACACAAAGAATTTTTCTCCTTGATGTTACTGCTGTGCCTTCACTGTAGGGCAGGTACACCCAGAAGCCCATTGCACTCTCCTAGTCCCTTAGGTGCACATACCAACTCCATAGTCACCAACACCTGGAGATTCACCATTTCCTCATACATCTTGGGGTGGGGGAGGGGGGGGGCTGTAAGAATATTTATCTATATGTGAAGGCAGGGAGTGAGCCTTTGTGAACTGCATACTCTGGCAGATCCTACAGTCCGAACAATGTGGGGAATAGGACTGCAGGTTGTCCCACAGTGTGGACACTGTGTCTTCAGGAAAAACAATACAGAGAGAAGCAGATACCTAGGACTACAACAGTACTGTCTCTCTTAGCTGATTTCAAGGGGTAAGTATCTGCAGTGCTCAGTGCAATCTCTACCTTAAAATTAAGTTTTACCTTCATGTAGACATTCAGGATAGGAATTCTGCTCTCAGCAATTTCCTTTTTGGCCCCAACATAAACTTTCCCTGGAAAATATAAAACCTGTGACAGTTATTGAGGAAAAAAAATTGAGGCTGTCAGAGAAATGAAGCAATCAGGAGAAAGTAGGATCTCCAGGAAAATACATATTTTCGAAAGGATTTTAGGTTTCTAAATGAACTTCACCACAAGTGGAAGGACTGCCAATGGAACTTGACTTCTCCAGCATCCACAGCTGGGAACTCATTCCTTGTCACAACTACTTCCCTACAATGCATTCCTCTTTAGGACAGCCTGTGGCTGAGAAAGCTGCTAATCACACACAGATTTGGTACTGACAGCTTACCTGGCAATACAGGGAGTGTGCAGGTAAAAGGGCTGTCTTTGCTCTCTGCCCCGTATCTCTCCTCTAGTTTGGCGTGCAGGGCATAGAACTGACGATAGCGTCGGAAAATTAAGTATCTGCCACCACCCTTAAGCTTTACTTCAATGACAAACATCTGAAACAAAGAAGGGGGATTCAGGCTGATGTTCATACTTATTAATGCTTACCAAATGAAAGTAAGGCATACAATAGGAACGTAAGATCAGTGCTCCAGTAGTGGGAATATTGTCTTAGGGGCAGAGTGGAAAGCGAGCCTTCAGTTAAGCATCTGCAGACTCAAGTACTAGAAAATAACAAGTTAGCACTGGCCAGTGTGGTATATGTGTGGGTCCAGCTTTTCCATGGATCATGTCCCTGTGGCTGCTTTCTATTACATAATCTTAAAAGGAAACCTGAAATTATTAGATGCTACTTTGTGCTTACACACCTCCCCTCAGTGACTAACAAAACATATTAGGGAGATAAATACAAATATTTTACAGTAGAAATATTTTACAGTGCTTTGGACATCTAAATCTATAGACAGACATCTAAATGAATTGATTTTCAGAGTTGAAGGCATTCATACTGCTTTTTGACTTTAAAGTACACAATTTCAGAAATTATGGTCTGACCTCCTCCAACCACTATCTTTATTTCTTATCTCTTGCCAAAATTGCTTTCTCTAAAGGAGCCCATGATTTCCATGCACTGACCTCTGAGTCACATTGCAGCGAGATCCTTCAGAAAACATAAAGACAGAGCAACCAAACGTCACTATATTCCACAGCAAAACCTGCATACTGCAGTGGGAAAGTTTTATGAGCAATGTCTCCAGCAAAAGCAGCATAGCCTGCAGAAGTCAGACTGAGCTGGTCTTATCCAAAACCCTTCTCCAGAAAATCTCATAGTGCTTTTCCCTACTATTCCCTTCCTGTGTGCTCTTTCATGATTTATTAATATGCTATCTTCTGTGGAGATGGAAGCAATCCTAACTTGCCAGTACCACAGAATAATGAAGACAAGACCCTGCCCTTCTACCCTCTTTGAATTCCTTTCCCACTATCTTCACCAAAGGTACAGCATTCTAACAGGAAATAAATAAGAAATTAGGTAAGAATTTAGAAAACAAGCAATGTTAGAGGATACTTCTGTCACATTTCACCCAGACAATAAATTTTTAGACTAAATCTGTGATAGACTAGCCTCCATTCCAGAAAAAAGAAGCACTGAGAAATTCTCCGTATGGAACTATTCATGCCAAAAAGCAATTACACAAGATTAACTGCATTTTGCTTCCCACAACGAAACCAGTCACAGATGAGGGCATATAGAGACAGGATAAATCTCCCTTCTTACATAATAATTAGTAAAGCCTTTCTTCTCTTCAATATCTGCAATGTTAGCTGAAACAGGTACATCATCTGGAAGCTGGTCAAAATCACTGTGAAGCAAGAACAAAAGATTTAGGTTACTCATACTGGCAATAGCCTTTGGACATCTCTATGCCATACAGAACAAAGATAGTTAGGCAAGATCACATTATCTAGTGTCAAAACCAAGACGTTAGAAACTCGTGGTGTCATTCTCTTCCTCTGGAGGTCTGATCTTGAGATGACATGTTTCTATAAGTTCAGCACGAGTCACTGGCCATTGTGAACATTCATCAAGCCTGAATAACATCCTATTGTTCCTAGGATTGCTAGAGTAGCAGGTCTACAAAAGAAATGCTTGAGCTGGTAAGCTTTTGCTGAGAAATGTGATCAACTGTGGATGCATTCTTAATCCTTCCTACAGCATCTGGTAGATTTACAATAACAGCTCTGCAGCAGTATCTCTTATTCTGAGATTATTATATACCATGATTTATGCTGTTACTATTACTGCATTACTGTAGGGAATAGGGAACAGTTCTGAGAAAAGAGCTTGTTGTGCTAGGTGCTGTAGAAACTGACAGCACAAAGCTAATTCCTAAAAGCATTACACTCTATGTGTAAGATGCATACAATGTACCTTATAAGAAACAATGGAAGGATAAGCACAAACAGGAAAAAAGCAAAGAAACAAAGACATAGTATTGTTCTATATCATAACTAGTGTTGCCCACACCAGCTGTCAAAATGTCAAGTTTTCTTGTAAACATCACAGTAAAGCAGACTCTTAAAGAGGCTTTGAAAAAAAAAAAAGTAGCCTAGCAAATATTTACAGGGAGACCTCTCAGCCACAGCAGATAACCCGAAGCAAGCACAAAGATACTTGTTTGAAAATGTCACAAAAGTGTGAAGGAACACATCATAGTGGGCAAGGTTAGAATAAGCTTTGCAGATCCTAGACAGTATTGGATTTGAAGCAAGAGAGAAGGAAGGATCCCTGCAGGAACACCTAAAGAGCAGCCATATGACCACACTCTCGTGTTTTTTGTCTGTACTGTCCACACAAAAGAACAGCATGAATTGGCAGGTGCTTTTTCCTCTGGGACTTTCTCCTTGGTACAACATCTTTGACAAACAGAAGATAAGTTCACCTTTGCTTCAATCTTACAACTCAATGTTGTTAGAGTGGTATTTATACTAACACTTCAGTAAAAAGGATCAAGAATGAGGAAAAAATAGTAACAAATGAGGTAGAGAAAAAGAGAAACTTTAAAAAGGATCATCTAAGAAATGCCAAGCTGATGTAATGTTAAATATTCTGACAATACAAAAACCACGGCAGCTCGCTCACTTTATTCTGTTAGGAGAATACCCCAAGGAGGGGCTTCCACAATGCATAGCCTATCGGGAAGGCTGAAGTAATGATGCAAAGTCTTGCAATAGCTTGCTGTACAAGGGGAATGATATGAATCAGCACCACCCACAACACTGTGAATACTACCACTTACTGTGAAGACGGATGTGGTCACAGAGATCAAGAAATATAACCAGTCATATCACAAACAGTCATATCACAAACCCCAGTAAAAGTGAAACTGTCTGCAGCTACAAAGAGGACAATGACCCACTATTTTCGTAGGTGGTGAATATTCCCCATGAAAAGAAGAAAGTCCACTCCAATTTAAGAAATGGTCTGCTCCATGCTGAGCAGCCTAATAGTTTGGAACCTATGATAACAAGAAGCCTTTTAGAATCATAAGAGAAGCCTGCATCCAAATTAAATGAACAGATCGTAGCAGTTACATGGAGGCTTGTGGGGAGGCGGGAGGAGGAAGAGACACATTACCTCTTTTCTCGCAGCTGTCGGGGAAGAGACATGGTTTTCAGCTTCTTAAATCCAGATGGCTAAGCTCTATTCCTTCACTTCTTGGGCAGTTCCTGGTTCAATAGGATGAACACAGTCAAAGCAGTTCTCCCTGTGTGAATCAAGACTCCTTTGCAAGGCCTCAGAGATCTTTTTTTTAATGTTTCAGTGTCAGACGATTTCTTCTGTACCTCCCCACCCCCATGAGATTGAGGAAGTACTAGAGAAAAAACAGTAATGAAGACTGTTTTGTGATGTCTGTCATGTATCGAAACTGCCACAGTTGAGAAACCAAAAGGCCAACAAAAAGCAGAAACTATGAGCCACATTTTCCATTGTCCACCTCTTCACCAAAACATCTGCTTCTGTGGAAGGCCAGTATGAGTGGGCTCAACAAATCCTGGTTTACCCCAGCTGAAATGTCCCCATATACATCTCTAAACTAATATTTGTAAACTAGGATGAATACTTCTGATCCCTTCTTGAGGCTCTCTGATTCCTGAGAGTCTACTTTTCCATGGACCAAGAGCCAGGAGGTGGAGCTAAAGAATAAATTTTCAAGTGGGAGCAGAAAGTATGGTCAGGAAATTCAACCTTGTCAAACATATGGGTACCAGAGTATCAGGCACAGGACATTAGGAAATGAGCTTTGAAGGATGGATCAATGCAAGTAAGACATGAGTCCTTGAAAGAGCAGAGATCTTTTCAGCTTCATATGCTCAAAACTATCCACATTTGCCACCTACAAAGACAGGGTAATGGCTCACCCAAGGAGAATCCTGACTGCCCTGCCTTGTACACAAAGGGCAATGATATAGCATTTGTATAACATCAGTTGACAATGTTTCAAGAAGAAAATAAAAGGAAGAAAGGGATAAGGAAACCATCATTTCCTAACACTGCGGATAAGTTGCAGCATAGCTTATCTGCCTTAGTCAAAAGCTGTCATGTGTAGTATCTTTGCCTCCCCATTTCAGTCTTTGACTCTCTTTCATTGTCATGTTCAATACTTATTTGGTTCCTTCTCCTCCTTCCACTGTCAAGCACAAAAATTCTCATCTGAATGGAGCAAAAGTCAACCAGCATCCTTCAAAATAAAACTTTATCTACAACTGTAATAATCAGCCTTGAGAGTAAACTGCATTTCACTGCATTTTTATGAAGTAAATTCTTCCCCCATCTCTCTCCTACAGATAACTGAAGGCACCATTACAGAATTTGAGAGGGGATATAGTGCCTCTTAATCAGAAAGGACCCGGAGAAGCTACAAATTTCTGAACTATATTTTCTGAGTGATCTGCTACTCTGTGCTGCCTACACAGCCTTAGCAGAGTAGCTTTAAGTGATGATGTTGGATATAAGTATTTCCCCAGATCTTCACACTGCTGTATATTCCATTTTCTTGATTAGGCCTGCTAAATGTGCAGTCCTCATGTAACCTGAAGTCAGGCTCATTATTCTCTTCCCTTTGCCTTGAGTGAGAGAGACAATAATCAAGTTTTCTAACTGCAATCCCCTTGCTTTCTCCTGACATTCAGAAGGAAATAGGAACAGATCACCTTGACCAGAACTCTTAATCACAAGATCAATATATATGAACTCATGAAAATTCAAAGGGGTGCTCCCAACACATGCAAAAAGATTGTGGAAAGCACAAGAACTGTGCAAACTTTAATAGAAGTGAAAGAGGCAGATATTCTAATCTTTTCAGATCTCTTGGAAGATAATCTAGATACAATGCAGGTACATCTTTTAAGAGACAGAGGATATGACACAATGTAAAAATACTTGCTCATTGTTTACCTGGCAACATGTATTTTCAAGAACAAGTTGACAGACAACCTCACAGACAAATTGTCTATGCAACTGCTGTGCTGTAACCTGAGTAAAACAAATTGGGAGCAGCTCCTCAATTCTACTACTCTCTACTAGAGATTATAGCCAGTAATAATACTAATCTGACAGAATAATGCTAAACCTGCTAAGAAAGTTTCTGATTCTGCAATATTTTCTTGTTCTGAACTAAACCAAAACCAAGACCTTCTTTTCTGCAAAAAGGCAGATTCCTACCTCCGAAGAGTGGAGAACTCATTGGTTAGAGGGCTCACCAAGGCTGCGAGAGACTGAGACTTGAAACACTGTTTTGCCATGTTCTCCTGCGCCAAATCAGTGCCTCAACTACCAGGTGTTTTCTCTCAATTTCTACTATCGTGCTACTATAGTAGAAATAGCAATTTCTACTATCTGGGCTGAGGAAATGGGCTGGGTCTAGTCAAACCCACATTCTCTCTCTGCGCAAGTACTTTATTATTGATGAATGAAATAAATGTCCATTACAAAATTGATACCATAATGACAGTACCCACGTCACAAGATATGTCTGCACTAGGAAAGTATACAATTTCATCAGCTGACACGGTCAACTCTCAGTTCTGAGAAAACCCACCCATTCACCATGGGCGGCATGGTCATTATGGCACTATGCACTGACCCTTATCCATGTGCAAAAGAAAGCAGGCATCCAGCTGCAAAAAATACTAACAAATTAATTAATTAAAGGAGACTACTAAGAAAATCCTCAGATGATTGAATCATGACCATATGCTGACACTGTTACATACCTTTTTGCAGTTCAGCAGCTACCATATTATTTTGGCTGTGTATGCCTGTGAACTGTGAAATTGTGGCCTTCTGTCTAATGCACATGTTGTTAGAAAATACTTGTACAAGGATACATAGCACCTTGGAAATCTGAGAGTATCAGCTATAACCAGAGAGTCAGAGCAAGCATGGAATTTTAATGGAAAATGGGAATGTAGTCCCAAACCACTAAAGATACATGAACCGTAATAAAAGGTAAATCAAAGGAACACAGCAAAAATACTCAGCTGAATCAATCTGGATAACAACACTACGTACTATGTCTACTAGGGCAGCAGCTACTGTATCATTTTGGCTGTGCATGTCTGTACGCTCTAGAATAATGGCTTCTCTCTGATGCACCTGATGTTAGAAAAGTGCTGCATAGTTATGTTCAATCACCAGCCATAGAATAAATTTGTTAAGTGACAGAATAAAGTGAACGAGAATAATATTCTTAAAAGATGTCTGGTCTCATCACAGATTAATCTATAAAGGAAATAACATTTTAACAATCGCTGCAAGGAAGCTGAATATCAAATAGAAACACAGCACAGTTGGCTTAAAAGATAATTTCGTTCAACCTAATGTTTTGGGAGGATATGTGGAATATTTGTTTCCATAGTATACATATCATTAGCAGTTGAGTGTCTTTTCTTCTGCGGTTGCTTGAGACTGAGCTGCAACTGATAACACTGATTTGGGAAAAGTGATTTGGGGCTATATTCCATTTTCCATTCATATTACACATACTTGTACAGATTTTGCTTTTATGGTTACCATCAGCTTTACAGAATGCTTTAATATACTTTTACAATATTTATTTTCAAATACAGTCATGTTTAAACCCCTTATCTTTATTATAATAGCACATGAATAATGAATAACAGCTCTGCAAAATCTTTGGACAGAAGTTACTTAAGATAAGCTACTCATGTCTGCCCTGTAATCTTCAGTGCTCTTTTGCAGGTAGTGCTACAAAACCCTTAGAAGGCAGTTGGTCCAATGGTAAGTAATGAGACCCTCTTTCTTTGATATATGCTTTCAGGACAGCTGAAAACAAACCCATAAACAAAATTAAAAAAAAAAAAGTTGTTGAAGTTGTCCTATCTTTCTGAACTTCTTGAAAAAAAACCAAAGAGGAGATTAGTTGAGCTGATTGGTTTTCATTAGATAATGGCTCAAGCCATACTGGCTGAGTGCATGGATACTCTCCCTGTCACACATTGGGTTGGGAGGAAAAAAGGCACAGGAATATAGATAAATAGAACTTTGGAAATTTGCTTTTATTTAAATCTGGACACAGTTTCCATGACTGCTTGTTTAGGGTGAAAAGTAACTAGTAGGCATTTGTAGAAAAGGACTATGATCATGCCCTGCTGACATAAACACAATTAAACAAGCCATCGTGAACTAAAGAAATTTAAAGATCAACATCCACCACTGTTCCTGACAGTGAATTTGATGGTGTCATTTCTAGAATAAATTACTACTCAACATGCAAGGACTTTACAGAATCAAATATTAAAGAAACAGCAGCCTTTTTTTAAAAAATTTTTCTTGAAATATCGAACTAGATCCCATAACTGAATCTTGGCTCTCGCACCTCAGTTGCTTGAGCAAAACAAGGAGTAAGTCTTGCAGGAAAAAATACCCCGAAAAGTGAGGTTTGTCTTTAGTCATTATCAGCTATTTTGGAAATATGCATTCAACAGTATCATTCTGGGTTTTGTTAGTTCATGATGCCATAGCCAGATCTTGCCAGCTTTTCTTATGCAGAGCAATATCATAAGGAGTATTATGGTCTTCCTCTCTGTGGAAAACAATTCTTCCTTCACAATAAACCTGCTTCCTTTAAAAATCTTTTAAAAAGAAACAGGATTTCTCTCTGATACAATAGGATCACTTAAGATTGGAAGAGTTAGAGGGAGTCTTACCAGAACAGTAGTCACTTCTCCTTGACGAGCAACGGGGCTTTTTGTTCTTGTAGAGCTCAGATGGATATTGATGCCCAAGACTAGGCTAAGTAAGAAAAAATGGAAACTCAGAAACAGCAACAGAACATTTCTTCATCCAGATAGCATATCACTTCCAGAATAAAAGAGGCAAATAGGGAAGAAATAGGGCAGAGCTTGTCACTGCTACTGTGTATGACAGATGTGGGCTGGAGGTAGACCTGTATGCTCCAACTACCAGTGTCAAAATCTGGTAACTGGCCATTGCAGACAAAGAAGATGGCTCCATCCAAGAACTCCTGAGAGAACTATGCCTACAGCCATTCCTCCAGAAGGAAAAAAACTAGTTTTAAGTGCATAGCAGCAGTGACCCTTTGTGACAGGAGAGTCTCTTGTGTTTTAGTCTCCTAATCATCTTGAGAGTCAAAAATCTGTCAGAATCTTTGCTACTCAAGACAAAGAAAATCCTGCTACATCTGTTTCACAAGTTCAAAAGACCTGTCAAAATTACTCAAAAGAAATTTTCACTGAACTTTCCCAAATCTCAAAATAGGGTTGGGATTTGCTAAAATTTGCGTGGTACTGCATTCAAACCATC